GGCCACATTGCTTTCTGGAGGCTCTAGGGGGAAAATCCATTTCCTTGACATTCCCGACTTCTAGAAATTACCTGCAGACCTTGGCTTGGGGCCTCCTTCATCTTCAAAGTCAGAAATGTTACATCACTCTAACCCTAGTTAAGAAATCATCTGTTTTTCAAACAAGCCCATTCAAAAATGGGAGAAGGATATGAACAGATACTTTACAAAAGAAGACATACAGGAGGCCAACAAACATATGAAAAAATGCTCATCATCACTGGTCATTAGAGAAATGCAAATCCAAACCACATTGAGATACCATCTCACACCAGTTAGAATGGCGATCATTAAAAAATCTGGAAACAACAGATGCTGGAGAGGATGTGGAGAAATAGGAACACTTTTACACTGTTGGTGGGAATGTAAATTAATTCAACCATTGTGGAAGACAGTGTAGTGATTCCTCAAGGACCTAAAAATAGAAATCCCATTTGACCCAGCAATCCCATTACTGGGTACATATCCAAAGGATTATAAATCATTCTACTACAAGGACACGTGCACACGAATGTTCATTGCAGCACTGTTTACAATAGCAAAGACCTGGAACCAACCCAAATGCCCAACGATGATAGACTGGATAGGGAAAATGTGGTACATATACACCATGGAATATTACACAGTCATCAAAAACAATGAGTTCACATCCTTTGTAGGGACATGGATGAACCTGGAAACCATCATTCTCAGCAAACTGACACAAGAGCACAAAATCAAACACTGCATCGTCTCACTCATAGGTGGGTGTTGAACAATGAGAACACATGGACACAGGGAGGGAAGCACTACACACTGGGGTCCACTGGGGGGAAATGGGGGAGGGATGGGGGGTGGGGACGTGGGAAGAGATAGCATGGGGAGAAATGACAGATACAGGCGAGGGGATGGAAGGCAGAAAACCACACTGCCATGTGTGTACCTATGCAACAATCTTACATGTTCTTCACATGTACCCCAAAACCTAAAATGCAATTAAAAAAAAAAAAGAAATCATCTGTTTTTAAGGACTCATATAAATAGACTGAACCCACTTAAATAATACAGGATAATCTTCCATCTCAAGGGGCATACCAATAATTGTATTTGCAAAGTCCCCATGCCATATAATGTAACATACTACCAAGTTCCAAAGACTATGACACAGATATCTTTGGGAAAGCCATTATTCTGCCTCCTATACCGTATACCATAAAGGAGCTTCCTTAGGTTTCCTGCTCTATCCTCAATCTTTCCAGTAAGCATTCAGTAGAAGCCCAAAGGGAAAAGCTGGCAATTACAGATCATTCCTGTGTCTGGGGCTCCAAGGTATTCTAAACTGTCACACTAAACTACACTCAACCTTTGTAAGTATTGGTTAAAATTTCAGCCATTTTCTTCTTACCTACCAAAATGCCAGAGAACTTTTCTGGAGCTATGCCACAGATGAAACAATTCATGTGTCCTATTTGGAAAGGCTTATCATCTTTTGAAATTCAGTTTACCTGCTCACCTTGTAATTTCAGTTCTAACAAACTCAAAATAAATTATGACTTTTAGCCTACCTAGTTTACTCCTTGTTAGAGCAGAAGCAACATTCTCTTTTGGTTTTCTACTACTTAAAAGGAAGAAGGATTCTCAAGCTGGTTTTCAAAATGCATGCATAAATGCATACTATGCTATATTCTTCCACATGCATGGTTTACAAATGTCTCAATTAAAAAAAAATAGACTCAGGTATAGGTGATTTTTCATGCAATCTCTCTGGCCTTCTAGCCAAGAATGCAATAGATCTTAATAATCTGACAATTATTGTGTTTCACTGTCTAAAAGACAGTTGGGAGGGGGGAAAAGAAAAGTCTTGCTTGAAATGTGAAAATAAGAGTATATGTTTAGCTCTGAGAATGTTCTGGTGAGAATTACAATGATGCCAAACTATATGTACATATTAAAGCCATAGGAAAAAAAAAAGAAAGAAAAAAATGAAAGAGTTTTTATGTGGGCTTCTACTTGATTTTTTTTTTCTTATACAAAAAAAAACCAGTTTTTATCAAGACTTTCAAGGGGTCAAGGTTTCCCATCATATCAAGAATATAATCTTCCACAGCATCATCAATGAGGTCTGACTCAGCTTGCTCTTCCGAAGAATCAGAATCAGAGTAATCAGAAAGGCAGAAGGTTGCTACTATCTGCAAAAGTATCATACCCAGCAGGCTGTTTATCATAAAGTGAATCAAATATGCTATAAAGTTAAAAAACAGTACATGATAAAAATGAAATAAGAAAGATTACAGACTCCAAAGAACACTGATTTCCCAATGGAATGTTAATAAACAAAAGACTCCATCAGAATCATAAAATTCACATCATTAATTCTACACTTTATCCAGAGGAAAAATGGCTGAGAAAAATTAGCTATCTTGAACCGTTCCAGATCCAAAAATTACTAGGCAGACAGCAAACCAGAGGGTTGAGTATCAATCAGTGTCCAAAAAGAAATCGTCCTTTTTTCTAGTTTAGTATTAGCACAAGTTAATGGTGTGGTATGAATGTAAGTATAAAAATATTAAGCAGTATTAAACACAGCTGATAAACTGTGGAGGTCGCTAAACTGATGCAATGTCAGTTAAAGGAATCTTCCAATACCTGAGCCAGTAATGCAGTTAATCTGTACAATCAAGCCATTTCCAAACATTCAAGTCATAAATTCTCCTAATATCACCATCAGCAAAATATTCTTCCTCATAACTAGAACACATAGAGAAAAACCTTAATCTCTCATGTTGTAACTGATCATCTGCTTCAGTGTGACATATCTGATGCTTGATTGTACAGTCTTGATCCAGAAATTGCTCAGTGTTACTATGGAACCTAATCATTGGTATAATCAATACGATCTGTTATCCTTTCAGAACTATTCTAAATCTGTGTAAAAGTTTCCTATAACTCTCAAGCAGTTTATGGGTGATGACTGCAAGGTTAAACTCAATGTTAACATGCAAATGAGAGGCAAACTCTCTTTCACTGATTTGCAAATTTTCTCTTGCCCTTGGGATTGGATCCTATGAATCTGGTCCTCACATTCTGAATGCATTTCTTTATAATAGAGAACTTACTTTGACAAATTCTCAAAAAAGGAATTGAGAATTTGACAATATGGTACTTTGCAGATCCACTAAAGCCAACCTTAAAACTTTGCCAAAGGATCAAACAAGAAATTATGAAGCATTAGAACTGGAATATAACATCAAAAATAGGGAAATTTAAAAAGATGAGGAAAGGAAGGCCAAGTAAGAGTCAATGAAATACCACCCAGAGAAATGGCTTACTGTTGACAGCCTGTATATGTGCCTATTGAGAAGAAGTGTGGATTAGACATTCAAATCTAAACATCAAGGGCAGATAAAAACTACAACCATCTAAAATATTGGTCCTATCCCATTCTCAGGTGGAAAGAAAACCTTTCCTCAGCTCTAGAGCATTAAGGAGTAGTATCTGGAGCAATGTGACTGTTCTTTGCCTATTCCCTTCCCATTGTAACAGAACCTCAACCTGGCCATGTTATCAGTGGGTGGCTGCTATTTTTCCCACGGTCTCGGGGTAGAAGACAAGGTTTTCATGGAGTTAGCCAGAGCTGGAGCAAGTAGGATGTCAAGGGAGGCACAAAAGAGGAATAGAAGAGAGAATGAGTTCACATCGCTTTACACATTTGTAAATGTGTAAATTTTACATGAAAAATGAAATAAATTTTACACAAAAAATCCAGGAACGTAATGACTTCTGTGACCCTGAATGGCTCTATGTATTAGTCTTTCAATTTTGAAAGAGAGCAAATTACATTTGTGAACTGAAAATACACATCTTCTCCCAGTTCTTGGAATTGATCACTAATTTTACACTGCTCTTCAGCCTCTATACCAGTATTTCTGAAGCTGTCATAAGTAATTCCTCTAAGTGCTATCTCACTGGAGTGGTATTGGTACAGCAAAGTAGCAAAGGAAGAAATACTATCTGCGAACACAAAATTATTTTTTACAAATTTCTCAATGGCATGTTAGTCCTACCAGTCATATCATCAGTAGACTACATAGAAACAGAGGTACTCTAGAGTACAGTACTTAACGCTCTGTAGCTACTAGATGCAATGTAGGGTGTCATGTGTAATATCTGAATAATGCTTTTTCAGAACTAGACTGTAATCTTAAGGTCATGATGAGAAATCTCACATTTGAATAATCCACAAATGAAGACGTTGTGTGAGATTCAAAAATACAGTGCTTTCTAGTTAAAATGGGAGATTAGTGAAAATAATGTAATGTCCATCATTTAAATAACAGAAAAGTATTGTGGCTATTGGAGATTTACTGTGTTGTTACTCTAAAGGTATTAAGAGTTTGGAAGCACAGAGTAGTGTTCCAGGCCTTGGAGCCTAGCCACAGGTTTCACAGGTGCACCTCCAGGCAGAAATGACTGAAACTTCCATAGCTAATCTCAACTTTTATTGTAAGAGTTTACATGGATGGTAATATGATTTTGTATATATGTCCTTGTGTATATATGCATGTGTGTGTACCTTTCTTTTTGCTTGAATGTGCTGTTTCTGTCCCTTGCAATTTAAATATTCCTAATATGTAGAAAAATCCAAAGAAAAAGTTTGTGATCCTTTATGTTTATGGTATATTATGACTACAGAGACCTTGTGCTTTTACTGGCTTAGAATCATCTTGACCTAATATTAGAGTTAATGTTATGAATCAAAAGGGTAAGATTCCTGGCTAACATCCCAGGTAACACAGTAAACTAAAGTTTTAATTTAGCTTTGGCCCTTACAAACTTTGTGCCCTAAAGCAAGTTACAGCTCGCTTCACTTTTTTCATTTTAAAGTGGTCCTATCTGCATGGCTGTTCGTACATGTTATATAACACATCCTATTCCAGATCTACCACGAGTTGAGCTCTGAATGGTAAATGCCACCGTGAGAAGCGGACAGGAAGAGGCGGAGCGCCAGCGGCGCCTGGAGCCGGCGCCCCGCACGGGACCGAGCGGCGGCAGCGACAACCTTAGTTGTGAGCCCGGGGGCCGCTTTGCCCACCGTCCCGCCGGTCTCGGCCGTAGCTAGGGGGTCCGCAGGCCCTGCGGCAACCCTCGGTACAGACGCTGGGCGGGAGGCGACACCTGGCCCATGGCCCCCGAGGCGGCTCCGTCTTCCTTGGCCGTCAGGGCCTCAAGCCCCGCCGCGGCCCCCACCTCGTACGGCGTCTTCTGCAAGGGGCTCTCCCGCACCCTCCTCGCCTTCTTCGAGCTGGCCTGGCAGCTGCGCATGAACTTTCCGTACTTCTACGTCGCGGGCTCGGTGATTCTCAACATTCGCCTGCAGGTACACATTTAGACCCGTGACTAAGCTAACGGCCTCCGGGACCAACAAGATGGCCGACTCCTGGGGTCGTTCTCGGCGCAGCGGAGGTGCGGAGAGCGAGCCGCGCAGTCTCGCGAGAGGTTGCTCGGGCGCTCTTCGCGGCTGCGCTCTTCGCTGCTAGCGGAGCTCCTCCCGGGGGCGCCGGGAGCCTTCCGTTCCTAGAAAGAGAAAATAACGCGATTCCGGAAACAGAGAACTGCAGTTAAGACCCTCGAAAAGATCTAAGAAAGCGTGCATCCTGAAACACCTGACGAATTTCAGGACGTGACAAAGCACAGAGGGTGCATTGTTTCCAATTAAAAGGGTGAAATTTTCATGAAAAAGAAAATCAGTAAACCGGGAATGTTGGATTTGGATTGTAAGCAAGATTTGAAATACGAAGCTGAAGGTATTAAGGCTGTGATACAGTAGGCACATATTTCTTCATCCCACAAGAGAAAATAATCATCAGAAACTTTCAGTGAGAAAAAGCAAAACTGTGCAAGAAAAACATCCTCCAACCACCAGACATAAAATGCTGCAAGCTTTTGAACTAATGGGGAGAGTGTAAGAAAATGGGCTCTATTTCAGTGCTCTTGTGGCCGGACGACGGAGATCAAGACTTGGAGCCTCAGAAAAGGAGATACCGTAGGAGCACAAAGTTTGGCTATTCAGTGAATAACATTTAAATAATAGTAAAATGCAAATGTTGTTTATGGTTTTTATTGTTTAAGGGTGTATCTAATTATGGTTACAGAGTGGAATGCAAATGTTATCCATCATGTTTTAAAAATACAGACGGAAATACAAGTGGGAATGTTGAAGAAGGGCGGGAGAGATAATGAAATGGTAGTAATGTCCTTATGAAGTGGGAAATTGAAGGATACGGTCTGTCGTTGAGTGGGGAAAGACATTTTTATTACAAGGTAGCCGTAAAATTTATAAAATAGTAATACACCTGTATTAAAGAGGGAGAGTGGTAGGAGAGAACAGTATGAAGTCAACAGGAAATGCCTAAAGATGGAGACCTCAGATAAAATATTTTAAAAAATAAAAAATTTATAATAGAGTACCTGGTGTATTTGAATACAGCCTAGAGAGCTTTCATTTTCCAGAGAGTGGAGGGATAAATTAGTAATCTGCATATTTTTCAAAATTAAGAAAACAAAACATGTAATTTTGAACCCTGGGAAAAAAAAATCCAAAAACTACACTGCATACCTCAACTGTGAACAATACTAGTCACGTAAAGTCAGTCATAATTATGTAAATACTGAATACTGATTTTACAATTAATGATTCTATAACACTGGGAGGATGAGAGAGAAGAGAGATGTGTGTGTAATGGTGGTGAGCCAATCAAGATCTGATATAGAAAACTGCAGAAAAAGAAGTATACACACTTTTTTTTTCAGATAAGAAAACTGTAATAAGAAACCACTAAGAATGGTGAAGTTTTGAATCAAGTTCTGTGCAGAAAAAAGTAGTATACACATGTTTTTTCGGGGGAAAAAAAAAAAACAAACTAAGAAACCACCAAGAGAGGTAAAGTTTTAAACTAGTTGCAGTGTTCTGTATTCTACTCACTGTGTCCAGCAAACAGTGATCTATCACTTTAAATAATAAGCATCTTGCCCCCTCCAACACCATGTCTGGCCTTGGGTAATTGTTCTTTCTAGGCTTTATTCCTTGTCTCCAGCCAAACTCCATTTGGGCACATTCTCTTATATGCCTTTTCTACCCTTTTCTGCCTGAAGATACTCTATTTTAAAGCTAAGCTTAGATGACACTTTTTCCATTAAATTTTTCCTGGTTTGCACTGACCATATAGGAGCCCACTTCTTTTAATCCGTAAGGCCATTTTCATAGGTTGCCTTATTTTTTCCTAATTGTGCATCACTTATCTATTTTGTTTTATTTACCCAAGACAGGTTTCCTAGACTCTGATAAGCCAAAATGTGTTAGTCTAAAATATCAGAAGTGTAGTTTAATCAATGAAATAGGAATACCAAGGGATTTAGAATAGTGGATATCACTCTTCCCCAGAGGCACTAATGTCCCAATTTGTAACACAAAAGACTGTCCACTCTTAATCCTGAAGTGGTGATAGAGTAGGATGCTCCATTTATTTGGGTGGCTACATGAACATATACCTACAACTTTTTTCCTCACATCAGTCTTTTGTTAAACTGAAGAAACCGACTTTATATTTATTATATCCTCCAACAAAATTGGGAGCTCTGTGAGGGAAGACAATATATCCTATTCCATTTCATATTCTGTAGTAACAGTAACAATGTATGTGTGTGTGTGTGTGTGTGTGTGTGTGTGTTTGCGGGTGTACATACACATATATACAAATATATTACACATACACCTATAAATGTAAGTAACTATATGTATACAGTTAGTACTTACTATATATGTATACAGTTACCACTTACATTTACTTCCCAATATATATGTTTATATATTATATATTGGGAAGTAAATATGGTTTATCATTTCATTTATCATCTATTCATAATTGCTCTTAGTTCTTGAGGTATACTTTGCCTCCTACATGATGCAATTCAATGAAATTTCCAGGGGACAAAACAAGATTTTTGACATGAATAAAGCACTTATTGTTATAATTCACAAGTGAGTTTATTCTTCCTGGCATACTTCCAGGTAAAATCCATTAGGCCAAGGATTTTGTTTGTTCACTGCTCTATCCCCAAGCCTAGAGCATTGCCCAGTGCAAAATAGCTAATAAATATTTTTGAATGGACAGATGAATGGCCATTTGTTTGGTATGCTCTACACAGTCAGCAGTCAATAAAGGAAACAGATATATTTGTTCCTGATAATAAGATCATTCCCTTTATTACCCATAAATTGGGCTTTTTCAGACCATTATGCACATTGATAGATCCAGAGATCCCTCAAGCATGAAGAAGCAGAGTGGTAGGTAGTATAATTATTATCAGTAAAGATAAAACTTAAGCAATCCCATTACTGTGTATATATCCAAAGGATTATAAATCGTTCTACTATAAGGACACATGCACACAAATGTTCATTGCAGCACTGTTTACAATAGCAAAGACCTGGAACCAACCCAAATGCCCATCAATTATGATAGACTGGACAGGGAAAATGTGGCACATATACACCATGGAATATTATACAGCCATGAAAAACGATGATTTCGTGTCCTTTGTGGGGACATGGATGAACCTGGAAACCATCATTCTCAGCAAACTGACACAAGAGCAGAAAATCAAACACCACATGTTCTCACTCATAGGTGGGTGTTGAACAATGAGAACACGTGGACATGGGGAGGGGAGCACTACACATTGGGGTCTATTGGGGGGAAATAGGGGAGGGACAGTGGGAGTTGGGGAGAGAGAGCATGGGGAGAAATGCCAGATATAGGTGATGGGGAGGAAGGCAGCAAATCACACTGCCACATGTGTACCTATGCAACAATCTTGCATGTCCTTCACATGTACCCCAAAACCTAAAACTCAATAAAAAATAAAAATAAAATAAAAAGAAAGAAACTTTAGGAAACAACAACAAAAAAGAAACAAAAAAAAAAATTAAGAAATTTAGCTGCCACGAAAAAAAAATACTGGGAAAAGATGTGTTACAGCTTATTTTAACTACAAAAGGAAAATAGTGAACATAGCAACATGTATCCTAAGGGATAGGGGAAAAGTTTTTTTTTTAACTCTGGGTAAAAATAAATGTGATGACTTGACAAACAGCATATCATTATTATCAGCATCATTTTAAAAATATATATTGAGTTTTTAATTCCAGGAATTATGAAAAATTATTTATACACATGAGCTCCCTAATTCTCACATATACCCTGTGAGGAAAACATTTTTATCATTTTTCAGAGAAGCAAACTGGAATTTAGAGAGAAGATAAGAGTCATGGAAACCAGCCAGACCTCAAATGAATCTCCAGTAATCCTCAAATACATATTTCATAAGTAGTTCAATTTCCTTAAATATGTATATAATTCTATATAATCCTGTTTCTCAAATTTCTGGACAGAAATATTATCTGGGAAATAGTGATTTTTTTAAACATAACTATTGAGGGCCTTTCATACTAAAATATAAATATTTAATGTGATTTGATATGTAAGTTCAAGTATTTCATACTCTGCAGCCTTTAATCTATTGGGTTATTTTATTTTTTTTATTTTTATTTATTTTTGAGACAGAGTTTTGCTCTGACTCCCAGACTGGAGTGCAATGGCGTAATCTCGGCTCACTGCAACCTCCGCCTCTCAGGTTCAAGTGATTCTCCTGCCTCAGTCTCCCGAGTAACTGGCGTTACAGGCACCTGCCACTGCACCCAGCTAATTTTTGTATTTTTTAGTAGGGAGAGGGCTTCACCATGTTGGCAAGCCTGGTCTTGAACTCCTGACCTCAGGTGATCCACTTACCTTGACATCCCAAAGTGCTGGGATTACAGGTGTGAGCCACCATGCCTGGCTTACTGGCTTATTTTATTAGAGGGTCACTACATTAAAGCTGCGGTGTTTGTATGTTTTCAATTTGAAGAGACCTTCAGTGTTTCTTTGGCTGAACCCTAACCCAAAATGCAATCAACTGGGGCTAGGGCCGCAGCTTGAGGGGACAGAGATTGCATATTTCACACATGGAGGACGTACGCCCAGCAGAATCACTACCATCCATAAATGTTCCTTTCATGTTTCCTTGAAAATTTTGGTTTCACTGAGCATATATATCCCTTTCATTTTCAAAACTGAGGGCTGCATATTTTTCTACAAAATTTTTAGACGGAAACATCCCCACTGGCTCTTCCTCATGACAAACCTAAGACAGGGCTAGTGTCTTGGGTTTAAACCAGTCCCCACACTGTCAAGCATTAGAGTCTCATGCTCAAAATAAGAGTGACTGTGCATTTCTGTAATCTTCTGAAGCTACATATATATTGATTACTTTTAAAAAGGAAAACTAAAAAAGCTGTGAAATGAGATTTGTATACAAGGAGACAAAGAGTTGACTATTTATGTTTCTCAAATTCATCAAACTTTTTGGATCAGCTTTTTCTTGTGAAGGTTGGTCTTAGGGTCCTTAATAGGCAATGGTTACTTTAGACAAAATATCATTCCATTTCTAGAATGAAACAAAAATGACTGTGCAAATATACAAACACCCCCTAAAATAACTATTGGATACTAGGCTTAGTACCTGGCTGAGAAAATAATCTGTAAAACAAACCCCCATGACACGTGTTTACCTATATAACAAACCTACACATGTACCCCTGAAACTAAAATAAAAGATTTTAAACAGCCCCTGAAGCATGACCTTGGCTCAAAGAAGGTGCAATCTCTTCAAGATTTTGCTAGAAAAATCCACCTCTAAAGAGATAGCAGATAAACCACCTGAGGCAGTGAGGAAATTGGTGCTCCTCTTTCTTGGATATCAGTATAGGCATGGGTTTCTACTTGATGTGCACATTCAGCACCGTTTCAGAAACCATGCCTTGGTATACTTAATATCTGTCTTATTCACCTTCCGAACTAAAGCTATGGGTTGGAGATAAGCCAATTTCAGCAGTAGAAAACAGGTTATCTGTTCCTCTCCTATACGTTACTTAACTGTATTAATTGAAATAACCCCAATCATTACACCCAGACTCTTGAAATGAACATTTATATGACAAGTGAGAGGGGGACTATAAAAATGAGTGATAATTTCCCTCCTTCCCCAACAACTGGCTGCCAGAGCAGGTCATAATCGTGTCAGTCTTTCTCCATTTTGCATGGGGCTGGCACTGCATGTGGCAGTGCATGTGTTGGGCATGGCTCTTGGATCCTGGTTTGGTGTTACTAAATTCCCACAAAGGCCTTGTTTGGGAGAAACTGGAGGTACAGAGCTTGCTCCCATTTGCCATTCAAATATGCAGATTACCAGCCAGGCACAGTGGCTCATGCCTTTAAGCCTAACACTTTGGGAGGCTAAGGCAGGTGGATCACCTGAGGTTAGGAGTTCAAGATCAGCCTGGCTAACATGACAAAACCCTTTCTCTACTGATAATACAAAACTTAGCTAGGCATGGTGGCATGCACCTGTAATCCCAGCTAATGGGGAGGCTGAGGCAGGAGAATCGCTTGAACCCCGGAGGTGGAGGTTGCCATGAGCCAAGATTGCCCCACTGCACTCCAGCCTGGATGACAGAGCAAGACTCCATCTCAAAAAAAAAAAAAAAAAAAAAAAAAAAAAAAAAAGATCAGATTACAATACATCAGTTGCAAAAACCAGAATATGTCCTGGGCTGTTTTTACTACTTTTTTGTTTTGCTTTTATCGTGGAGAATAGGTCCCTGTTCCTGTAGTCCCATCCCCCTGGTTTTGCTACCTACTAAGTGTAAGACACGTGTTACTCTAAGACATGTATTAATTTACTACTAAGGTTACTCAAGAGTTTGATCAATTGCTTACCAAAAAAAGCTTACTGACACAAAAACATAAATAGTGTTTTGGGTTATCTTGTAAAGAGCGCAAGCTTAAGTCATTTATATAAAAGACTATCTATAAAATAAACTCAATATCTAAGTCTAAAATATATTCAGCTAGATTTGCACATTACCTTTTAACAAGGCAAGAAAAGTATAACTAGAATTATAATCTTTGAGAAAATACTAAGTTAGTGATCAAAATATGTGTGCATTTTATTTTGTAAAATGCAAATTACTAAAAAATAGATGCTACATTATCATTAAAACTATCATCATCATTGTTATTGATACATGATACCATATAGCACAGATGTACTTACAATTTCATTTTATGTATAAAGGGAGGAGGGAGTATTAATAATTCTAACATCCTTTCCAGCTCCAGGGCACAGCTGTAGAGTGGCGCCCTCACCTATAGTTTCATCAAGTTTAATTTACGAGCATGTATTTATCAGTATTTAATAGCACATTTTTGTTTTTGTACTCTAACACAACATAAAGTATATATCAAAAGTGAATTCTAAAAAGAATTCTTTGTTAAAATTTTCATTATATACCTTCTGTACAATGCTTTAATCTATGCCATCATATTCAAAACATTTTAGTAAATTTTCCCACCCATATCCTTATTTACAATTTATCGTTACCTTATCGAAACTTAGATTATCATAATCACGGCAGCACTATGTATGCATATGCTTGTCTAAAATTTACAGTAAACATCTAACATTCTGTAAACAATATCACTTTGCTTTCTGTGCCTTCCTGGTTGACATTGTTTCTATTTTTTCCTCTAAGAACTCCAGTGATCAGACTGCAACACAATGCATGTCACATAAACAAACACAAAAACAATCATCCTCAAAAGGTGATTATGATCTTTCTGTAGTAGCAATATGTGTATAATTGTGAATTAAGAGATAAACCTCTATAATTTTAGTTATATTACACAACATGGTAGAAATATTGATTTCTGCCTCTCTGAAAATGCATATTGCATGTCTGAGATTATAGCAAAATTATCATGTGCCTAGAAACATCCAAATGTTTATTATTTGAGGCTTTAAATTAGGATCAGCATTAAATCATGTGTTTCCAAGTTCCATCTAAAGATAATTTATTTTATTTCATGCTAAAAATATTGCTTTTCTCACGTAATTACTGTATTCCCTTGTTATCAACAAGACATCTAATAACAAAATTATACTACTGTTTTTTTTGTTTTAAAAAAATTCTTGGGGCCTGGCTCATGCCTGTAATCTCAGCACTTTGGGAAGCCAAGGTGGGTGGATCACCTGAGGTCAGGAGGTCGAGAATGGTCTGACCAATATGGTGTAACCCTATCTCTACTAAAAATACAAAATTACCAAGGCATGGTGGTGTGTGCCTGTTCTTCCAGCTGCTCAGGAGGCTGAGACAGGAGAATTGCTTGAACCCGGGAAGTGGAGGTGGCAGTAGTGAGCCAAGATAATACCACTGCACTTTCGCCTGGATGACAGAGTGAGAGTCTGTCTCAAAAAAAAAAAAAAAAATACTTGGCTTTTAAGCTATGAAGCTATATTTTTCCTACTATGACTTTAGTTTGTTTGTTTGTTGTTTTTTTTTTTTTTGAGACAGAGTTTTGCTCTTGTTACCCAGGCTGGAGTGCAATGGCGCGATCTTGGCTCACCACAACTTCCGCCTCCTGGGTTCAGGCAATTCTCCTTCCTCAGCCTCCTGAGTAGCTGGGATTATAGGCACGTGCCACCATGCCCAGCTAATTTTTTGTATTTTTAGTAGAGACGGGGTTTCATCATGTTGACCAGGATGGTCTCGATCTCTTGACCTCGTAATCCACCCGCCTCGGCCTCCCAAAGTGCTGGGATTACAGGCTTGAGCCACCACGCCCGGCATGACTTTAGTTTTTAATTAGATTTTCTATCAGCATTGTATATATCATTTATCCATTCAAGTTTGTAATCTATCTTGCTTTCTAAAGAATCATATACCTTTTTCTCCAAAAGTTGAAATTACCTATCGTTTGCATAGAAAATTAAATAATTTCAATTTTTGGAAATAATATTTGAGACTGAAATATTTCTTGCCAATATACCAAAGAAAAATGGTTACTTCTAAGAGGGTATCAACTGGCAATGTGTGAATCGTCATCAAAAGCAGCCTGGAAGGGGAAAATTTCAGTTATGTCCCAAAATACATAGAGAAACCCAGTAGGAAATAAGAAAACAGTGGGAGTGATCCCCAAATCGTACTGATTCAGTTATTCTCTTCGAAAAGCTTCCAGAAAGTCTGTCTATAAAGGTGAAGGGTTTGGTCCTTTTGCATGGCTTCTAAGATGCCAGAGTAGCCTCATAGCGGTCTGTCGCAGCTTACTGTTTCCCAGAATGAGAATAAATGAGTGACAGGAGGGAAAAACGTTGAAGGGTAACATGATGAACTTTATGTACCTGTTGTTCCTTGACACAAAAACTATCCAGCATGCCATTTGTGAGGAAAAAAAATGAAAGATGAAGAGGAAAAGGAAAGACATCACCATTTTCATGGCCCTCCTGTGGGCCTCTGTGCTGGAGTCTCTAGAGCCCAAGGAGCTGAGCTTCAAATTTCTAGTGTGTCTCACCAAGGACAGAAATAAGAAAAGCAATGAGGTCAGGCACAGAGAAAAGGGGATCAAATTGATCAAGCTAAGAAGAGTGCTTATCGTAGAGAATTTATCATAGAGAGTTTTATTTTCATCTAAATATAAAGTCAGATTACTTTTACGTATTATATTCATTGTGATATCAGCAAGCATATATACCAATGAACATTCAAAAATCAGTAAGAACAAAGACAGTGTAAGAAGCAAAGCAATCACTCTGTTCATTCTCCACCTCAGCCAGAGGAAAAGGGAGTGGGGGAAGTGGGCTATCTTAAAGAAATAGAAAACACTTAGGCAGGTGGCAAGCCAGGTTGTCAAGTCATTAAGCATGTACAAAAGCATACCAGCAAGTTGTCGTATTCTATATGTGGTATAGAAGTATGGATCAAATTCAACTAGACATGAATTAAACAGCATCACCAACAGTTGAACAATTGTGGAGCTAGCCAAGCAGGTGAGGATGAAGTCAGCTGAGAAGACCTTTAGGTTCTTGATCCCATCAGAGCAGTTTACCAGTCCAATGAACGCATTCCCCAGCATGCCGATGATGAATTCGACTATTGTCACAATCAGAAAGATGTTATCCAATTCGGTGGCCATTTCCAGAGAAAAAAATCCAACTTTCTAATACTTTGTGTCAATAATAAACCTACAATCAGGCCACTACAGAATAGCATTCATTTCTGATACTTATCTTCATTGCTTTAATTTCACTTCCAGTCTTAATCAAAACCTTCTGCTGTTGGATGCGGTCTCATATGCTTCAGGAAGTCTTTGCCTGTTTTTTACTGTAATTGTGATCTTAATCCCAAAGGATCTATTAAGGAATGCAGTCTCACATACCTTCGTGGAAGTGTTTTCATTTCTTTGAAAGAGCTACCGAATTCTAAAGCCGTTTCTGTGTCCATTTATCATTGGCATGGGTTGAAACTTTCCACTTGTGGTAAGGATTAAAAGGTTAAAGTCAAGTATGTTAACATGCAAATATAGGCCAGATTCCCCACTATCTCTGATTGGACATTTCTGCTCACCTGAAATAATACACCACTTGGATCCAAATATCTTTATTGTTTTTCATAGGAAGCCCTAGAAATAATTTACATATTTTTGTTATTATTCAACGAATATATTTTATAAATGCCTTCTATGTGTCTGGCCTTACGCAAATGCAATATATTTACCATAAAAAAGCATTTATATTTACCACAAAAAAAGCATTAACAAGTTTATAAAATACTGAAAACAAAAAAAAAAGCAATGAGACAGAATCAAAAATAAAATACACTATCAAAGCAGAATGGGAAACTAGAAACACTGCTGTGGGGGAGCAGAAGGAGGTGACGTTTGCCTTGGATCTGGAAAATATTTAATATTTCAGGAGAAATTTCAAGTCATATTTTGAACTGACTGAATAACATCCAAAAGACAAGGAAACTCAAACGACTTTTGTGAAATTAAAGTCCTACTAATATTTCAATCTAAATGTTCCTCAGGTATCTTACAGTAACTTATTCAAAATTAAACACAGTTTTGCCCTTTACGTTGGTTTTATACATGTTCTATTTGTTTTTTGTTTTTGTTTTTGTTTTCTCTTTGCCCAGAGATATAATGCTACAATTTAGCCTTAATAGACAGATAGAAAATTATTTTAGATGAAATAAGGAGTAAACAAAAGTATTTGTTCTACATTCTAGAACATTTCTTTTGACAAAAACGCCTAATGCATCATAATTGAACTCACAGCTATCAATTATGTGTCTTGGTTTATGGTCAGCAAACAGATATTCTATTACTAGAAATTAGTGTTCAAGTGTTGCCAGACAAAAATAAACATGAAAAATGAATGAAATGATTTTTAAAACCTGGACCTTTTTAATGTTGCTGTGATACTCCTCAATTACATTCTATTAATGAACGTTTAAAAGTATTTATTTTAAGAAGGATGTTGTATAAAGGACTACTGCTAAGTTATTTCTTATGAAAAGTATATTTTCATTTAGGACAAATATATACAATTACAGTAAGCAGGAGGAGGAAAAGAGAAAGCAGGAAAGGAAGGAAAGAAAGAAGAGAGAGAGAATGAGAGAGGGAAAAGAAAGAGAAAGAGACAGGAGCGAGTTTAAGAGACAGGGAAAGGCTGGATGAAATGAAGAATTGTAGCAATATTAATAGGAAGAATTATGGCTTTGGCCAAATTAGTGTCTAGAGATGGAAAGAAATGTATGGCTATGGGAAACGTTTAAGAGAATGAATCAATAGTCTCTGATATGTATTTAGAGGCTAGAAAAAGAAGGGGAACGCTGCAGTGACGGTTAGACTCTCCTTTCACTCCTGGATGCACGTGGTACGGTGACCTGAGAGAGTCACCGGGGGAAGAATAGGTTTAGAAGCCAAAAAGTCGGAGAAAGGAGAAAAGTTGGGAGATGAGTTTGTTTTGAACATTTTGGAGGATCTGTAAAGTCATCCAAGTGTATAGTTGGCGTAGGCACTGTCATATTTGTGACTGCAGCTCAGAACAAAATATTTGACCATATGGAGAGGTTTGGAGAACATCAACACATATTTGATTCTATAAGATGTGAGGTGCTCCAAGGGTCCTGAGGAACACCCAAGGATAAAGAAACCAAAGAAAAACTAAGAAGCCATGGGAAGGAAGAGGAAAACCAAGAGCCTAGGATTTCAAAGCAACTAAGAGCAAGGAGTGTTACAATGACGGTAATCAGTACTTCATGAGATTCATGAAAACTCACTTACTAACTGGATTGAGGAACAAGGAATTGCTTAGTTAACTTTGCAAGAGAAGTTCAACTGAAGACAAAGCAAACTATCCCCGATTAAAGAGTCAATGAGATCCCAACAACAAAGCATTAGAAAACCAACTAATGTATAATTCAATACATTAACAGATAAAAGGAAACACATCCAGAAGAAATTTTGACACAGTTCTGCATGTGTTTACAAATGTTCTTAGGAAACTGGGAATCAAATGAAATACTCTTATTTCCTGACAAAAAAATAGTCAAAAAAAAAAAAAAAAAAAAAAAAAAACTTAAAGCAAATATTATAGCTATCAATGATACACCGAAAACTTTCTCCCTGAGTTTAGGACCAAGTTAGTGGTAACCATCTTACTAGGTATATTTTTTAAAGATTTCTACTAATCAAAGTAAGGCAAGAAAAATACATTTTAAGAAATTATAAGCTGGATATGGTGGCTCACCCCTGTAATCCCAGCACACCGGGAAGCCAGGGGCAGGTAGATCACTTGAGCCCAGGAGTTCAAGACAAGCCTGGGCTACACAGTTTAAAATTAACTGAGATAATTTTTAATCTTCAAAAATCTGCAAAGATCATTTGCATTTCTTCATAGCATCAACAGTTTCAGTCTGAAAAGACCTTCACTTTTTTGCCCATATAATACATATTGAATACAATCAAACATTCCACAGTTTTTAAAAATTTAAACCATGATCACACTCTTTTTCTCATTTTAGGTATTTTATATGAGAACACTAAGTTCTCTGACTGTATCTTTGGATATATCCAATTTTTCTCCTCAGTATCTTAATTATATACTGTCATCCAGTCTAAAGCAACTACCTCTAATATCGTATCAGCCATCCCTCTCTCCATGAAGACCAGCCCTGCTCCTTTTCCCTAGTCTGGTCACTCAGTATTTTTTCTTTTACAAAAGCTATGGGCTGTACTTTTCCATGTGGGGCGATAGGTAACAAGATAGTTTCTCCTTCACCATTATGCAAACATAGACCCATATTGTTACTCTTTTTGCATTTGCTTTGCCTAACGAATTTCCATCTGTATCTTTAGCTGTGGAAGATCTAAAGGAAAAATTTACAGATTTTAAATACTAAAATTCAAACTAAAACTCTGTTCATCCAATTATGTGAGAAAAATATTGGTCAGAATCTGATTCAGAATAGGAGGAAGAGGATCTGTGGCATGCCTTTCTTTCAATGGGCAGAGTAGTGGTTTGAGCACTTACAAATGTACCTAATTGTACCATACTGTAGCCCTTATTCTCTGTTTTGTCCACAGGTACCAGGGGAATCTATACCTGAAGCCTTACTGGAGTCAAGATATACAACATCTAGGTTCCCTTGTCTAATAAGTCTAAGAACTGAACTGCAAAGAAAATGTACGTAGTTTGCCAGAACTTGCCCTTTATATGTTATTGTAAAGGCTGTTGGTACTGATTAGACTGGTTCTTGTCAATGTGAGGGTAGTAACTGATAGTCTATTTAGTTTCACTTGCTCAACTATATCTCTTTTGAAATACCTGAAAGTTCTTAGAAATGAACCAAGAAATTAGTTGAGAAGAAACCAAATGATATCTAAGGGGGAAATCATAAACAACTTTAGGGATTATCTTAGTCTATTTGTGCTGCTATAACAGAATACCACAAAATGAGTAATTCATAAAGAAAGGAAATTTATTTCTCACCGTTTGGGATGCTGGGAAGTTCAATATTGAGGTGCTGGCCTCTGGCAGAGGCCTTCTTGCTGCATCATCCCACGGCAAAAGGGCAAAAAGAGAGGGACAGAGCCAGAGAGCAAACTCACCCCTTTAAACGAAACCCACTCACGTGATAAGAAACCCACTCATGTAATAACAGCATGGATCCATCCATGAGGGTGATGCCCTCATGACCTAACACCTCTTAAAGGTCCCACCTCCCAATACTTCCACACTGGAAATCAAGTCTCCAACTTGTGAGCTTTGTGGGACAAATTCAAATCATAGCATTTCACACCTAGGACCCAAAATGTATGTCCTTCAGACATGCAACATATGTTTACTCCAATCCAGTAGCCCCCACATTGTAACTTGTTCCAGCACCAACTTAAAAATCCAAAGTCCAGAATCTCCTCTAAGTCATATATGGATGAGACTCAAGGTACAATTCATCCTGAGGCAAATTCCCCAGCCATGAGCCTGTGGAATCAAAACAAGTCACCTACTTCTGAAATTTAATGGCGGGACAAGCATACGATAGACATTTCCGTTCCTAGAAAAAAACAGGCAAGAAAAGGGTGGCTGGGCGCTATGGCTCACGCCTATAATCCCAGCACTTTGGGAGGCCGAGGCAGGTGGATCACGCTGTCAAGAGATCGAGACCATCCTGGTCAACAAGGTGAAACCCGTCTCTACTAAAAATACAAAAATTAGCTGGGCATGGTGGTGCGTGCCTGTAGTCCAAGCTACTTGGGAGGCTGAGGCAGGAGAATTGCTTGAATCCAGGAGGCAGAGGTTGCGGTGAGCCGAGATCGTGCCGTTGCACTCCAATCTGGGAAACAATAGCGAAACTCTGTCTCAAAAAAAAAGAAAAAAAAAGAAATAAAGAAAGAAAGAAAGAAAAAGAAAGAAAGAAAAGAAAGAAAAGAAGAAAGAAAGAAAGAAAGAAAAGAAAGAAAGAAAGAAAGAAAGAAAGAAAGAAAGAAAGAAAGAAAGAGAAAGAAAGAAAGAAAGAAAAGGGTAATTGGTTTTAAGTAAGTCAAAACCCAGCAAGGCAAACCATATTAAATCCTAAGGGTTGAGAATAATCTTTGACTCCATATCCCACCTTCTATACCCACCAGGT